ATTTATTTCATGTCATAAAATAAATTGTTAGATTTTTATTTGAGGGTTGTATGTAATACCCTTTTAGCGTGGTGCTTGTAAAACGTCTAGCCTTTTCAATTAAAATATCTTATATCTAAATGTAATAATTTTTAAATAGTGCCATATGAAAATTTTGAGTATTTAATTTCAGATTTAATAAGAAAAGAAAACTACATGTAGATATTTTTTCTCATGAGTAGTTTTATATACTTTATAAATAAAAATCTTCTCCTGACTTCCGTATATAATTACTTTATTTTTAAAAATATTCTATATTGAATTTGTGTAAATATACAGTTTCTTAAACTTTAAATCAACTATGATACATGCAATCTCCAGTTATTAAAAGATTATAAGAAATCCTTGCGTATTAAACAGTTAAAAGTCCTCTCTGCTGCAAGTAAACAAAACAATAGGGAGCCTGCAAATTCAGAATACACAAGGGGGCGGAGCTATCATGTCACTCAGAACCTTTGTCACACATGAGTGAACAAAGCAGTCCCAGAAAACAGTCCCAGGGGCAGCTGGGACTGCTTTTCATAGCAGTCCCAGAGCAGTCCTATAGCGGTCCCAGAGCAGTCCCAGAGCAGTCCCACAGCGGTCCCAGAGCAGTCCCAAAGCAGTCCCAGGGACTGCTTTCTGGGACTGCTTTGGTGTCAGGTTGGGTCTGGTCGGTACTGTACGCTATCATTGATTTGCCTTAAAAATAAGGCATTTCTTTTAGATTCCACAGTTATCTGAAAAGTCAATGCTATATCAAGACCTTTATTGATTACATTTCCAATGTATATGCTCGCAATCGTCAATATACTAAATTTCCTTAGTGAAAAAAGATAACAAAATTAACAATTGTACAGAAGATAGTCATGTACTAGTTTTAGAAATGTCAACTGTATTCATACAGCCGTTGCAACAAATTTCTACCGAAAAATTATTTATATTTTATTATTTATACATTTATAAAATATTATATACAGAATGTAATTTCAAATACGTTAGATTTTTAATTTTTTTGAAGGTTTCAATATTGAAATATTTGAGGTGAAAGTTGCAAAGCTTACGAATACATATGGCAATCACCATTAAAATATAGTAAAGTCTTGTAAATAGGAAAACCAATAAACCGAATCTTTCACCGATCAAACGATTGATAAGATAATTGACGTTCAAACATTCTATCAATTAGCAAATGTATTATTCTTTATCCTTTATACTATACTTTATACTTTAATCCGAATATTAAGCGTTATGCTTGATAAAATTGACTTTATAAAGATGTGGAAATATTTTACAAAGTAAATCTTTAATATCATAAAGTTGTTGAGGTAACGGGATGTAATCCATGAACAAAGACAGTGGGAGGGAGATTTTCTGACATTATTTTCAGGCTGGTTAGATAGGTCTCATAATTCCTGGTATCCACTGGAGGAATAGGGAGGTACAGGAAACTCACTGCTGTTGTACTGGAGTATGAAAGAATAATTTGGTTTATTGCATGAATGAATTCCTCGGGGACTGGGTTAAATTCCTCTGTCAATTTTACTGTTCCATTGCTATTCCCAGACATTTGGGGCATGTAATGTACCAGATGATCCAGGGTGACAATCTGTACTGAGGCTTTGATTCTGAGCTGGTGGAGAAAACTGTTTAGTTTTTGCTGCATTTGGAAGGCGTTGTCTTTCTGTGAATTTATACACAAGAAGACTCGGAGACTTGTTTTGGATTTCCAGTCGGGTACCATGGTTAAAATACAGGCCAGTTGTAGCATGAAAAGGCTGGCGTTGTCAAAAAAGTGAACAGTGTCAGGTCTTAAAATATTCAATGGCCAGACATCAATGAAAAGTTGCTTTTTTGATTGTACAATAGATTGCTTACTAAATTGATCAAAATGCCTACATAAGCATACATTCTTCTGCATTTTCAGTGAATCAGAAATAAGTTTGACATATTCTGAAGTAGTAATATGTTTTGAATCAACCTCATTCCTGATATTCACGAACAATTTTTCAATGTTATCTTTTTTATCTTCCAAGCGTTTGAAAAAGCTTTGCTTCCTTCCTGTACTGTTCATGCTTAGCATGTCCTTTGGTTTAGCATCATCAAAAAACCCCAAGCAGACAGTATTAGGTTTCATTCCTCCCATTCCAGACAACCTTAATAAGTGTTGTAAGCCCTCTGACACAGTATTAGCTAAGGTCACCTCCACAAATGCTTTCACTTTAAGGTGGTCAATCAGACCCATCCATTTTGGGTTTTCTTCCAGAATCGGATCCTCAGCATACGAATCTAAAGATCCTAGTTTGACATGACCAATTACAAACAGTCCACCTTTCTTGATGTCATTGATAAAGTGGATGAGTTCTGAACACTGTCTTGGATTAGACACCATGAGTAAGATCTGCAGACGCCAATACTTTACATGGTCCTTCCGTGAATCCAGCATCAGTAAATACTTTCTCACCTACAAATATTAAATGGTTGCAGTAATTTTTCATTTCGCAAATTCTAAAGGATTTATTGTATTTAAAAAAAAGTTTTGTTTTTTTCGTATACAGAACATTGATATAAAAGATTCATCCCTTAATATAATGTCTGTCCGTCCGTAACCTTTTCACATTATCGACTTCTCCTCAAGAACCAATGGACCAATTTTAACGAAACTTGGTACAAAGCATCCTTTGGTGAAGAAAAGTTTAAATTATTAAAATAAAGATCAAAGTCTCTTTACAAAGGGAGATAATCAAGAAACGACAAAAATAGAGTGGGGTCATTAAAAATCTTCTTCTCAAGAACCACTGGTTCATAAAAGCTGAAACTTATGTGAAAGCATCCTTGGGTAGTGTAAATTTAATTGTTAAAATCTTGACCCCGGGGGTAGGGCGAGCCACAATAGGGAATCCGAGTTTTACGTAGATATATTTAGGAAAAATCATTTAAGATTCTTCTTCTCAAAAACCACTGGGCCAGGAAAACTGAAACTTATGTGGAAGCATCCTGCATGTGGTAGTGTAGATTCTTAAATGTAAAAATCATAAAAAGGAAGGGGATAGGGGGCACAACAGGTATAGCAAGAGGGGAAATCTGGTAAAGAACTGCATCACTCAAGTTACTCAGGTGAGCGATGTGGCCCATGGGTCTCTTGTTATTATAAAGAAAGTATGCATAGCGATGTCACGTCTTATTTAACCCAAGTCGGGTGCATGAAAATTTACACCCGACACTGTAACCAATGAAAGATGGTGTAAAAAGCTACATAAGAAATAATGATTCTTAAAACCTTACCTGATGGAAGATAAGAGCCTGACTGATGGAGCCCCACTGTGCAGGAAGTGACCGGAAGTAAAGGATGATAATCAGTAGAAGCATCACAACAATGGCGGCTGGGGTGTACACGAAACTTACCAGAAATCACATTACTATAGAGCCAATCAGACCAAATGTACAAGTGTGCCACGAAAAGAATTTAAAGCTGGGTCTGAAAATATAAAATTCTAGGTATAAAACACATTTTAAAATTCTTCTTACAGGTGATGTTCTTAATAAAAACAATAAACTTTCTCTTAAGAAGACATTGACACCTTGTCAGAATGGATTAAAATTCAGATCCATGTTAAAGTCACGTATTAAAAGATTGAGGGGCAAAATGAAAACCATCTATCCTTCTGTGTTCAATAAACCAGAAGTGAAAAAAGAATTAGATATATTACACGATCAGTACGTACTGGTTCCTGCCGACAAAGCAGGTAACAACATTGTCTTCGTTTGTAAGGCTCATTATATAAATTGCATTCTAGAAGAACTTGGATTTAATTCTACAAGTGGTAATCCTACTTATACATATACTAAGGAAGAAAAAAATCACCTGTCAGTTTTGAATACTTTTAATATTCCACAGAGCCAAAATGAATTTGAACTACCTTATATATATTGGATTCCGAAACTTCATAAGAATCCTTACAAACAAAGATACATTGCAGGTTCCAGTAAATGTTCAACCAAGCCTCTTTCGTTACTTCTCACTAAAATACTGACAGTGATGAAGGAAAAACCAAGAGTACTGTACAACTATATATTCAAGAAGTGGTGTAAATCAGATGTGGATACTTAAAAATTCTAAAGAACTTTTGGACAATTTGAAATCACAAGACTTTACAAAAATCAACAGCATAAAAACTTACGACTTTTCAACTTTATACACAACAATTCCCCACGACAAATTAAAATCCAGGCTTTTTGATATCATTGACAGCTGCTTCTTCAATAAAAATGGAACTCGTAAATTTACTTACCTTGTCATTGGCAATTTGCAAAATTATTTTGTTAAAACACATTCTGGTTGCACACACAGGTAATCTGAAGTTGACATCAAGAAGGTGCTTGAGTTCTGATTGACAACATCTATGTTGTTTTTAGAGACCAGGTCTTCTAACAATCTAGTGGAATTCCCATGAGAACCAATTGCGCTCCGTTATTAGCAGACATATTATTGTATTTATATGAAGCAGAATTTATGCAAAATCTTTTACGTAAAAAGAAAAAAAAAACACTTGCTGTGGCCTTCAACTCGACATTTAGATATATCGACGACGTATTGTCAATTAATAATGATAATTTCCATTCCTACGTCGACACGATATATCCTGGTGAGCTTGAGATAAAAGATACCACAGAGTCCGACACTTCTGCTTCATACTTGGATATTTTACTTGAAAAAGACACTAATGGTAATCTAACAACCAAGCTATATGATAAACGTGATGACTTTAACTTTTCTATCGTCAACTTCCCTTACTTATGCAGCAATATACCTTCATCACCTGCATACGGAGTATTTATATCTCAGTTGATTCGATACACAAGAGCATGCTCTACGTATGAACAATTTCTTAAACGAGGTAAATTATTGACAAGCAAGTTGATGAAACAAGAATATCAACAGTCTCGTTTAAAGTCATCATTTCGTAAATTCTATGGTCGATACAATGACCTTGTCAGCAAATACAATTTATCATTGAATGAAATGCTGACTGACGTTTTTCATACCAATTGTTAGTCCATTATTTATACACTGAATTGACCACGGATTTTTTCCATTATTTCCTGATTATGACAACGAGCACACGGCGGGTGTGACCGGTCGGCAGGGGATGCTCACTCTTCCATGGCACCTGATCCCACCTCTGATGTTTCGGAGGTCCGTGTTTGCTCTGCTCTTATTTTGTATATTTGTTAAATGGACGTTGAGATTGAATACTGTTCGTTATTTCCATATCCTTCTTACCTAAAGTTGGGTGTTGCAGCTAGTTCCAAGGACAGACATGCCAAATTCACTGAAGCATAGGACAACAAAAAGAACACTGAAGTAATGGGAGCGATCGCATTCAGTGATCCGACAAGCAGGATCAACTAGGAAAGAAAGAGATTAGAAGTTTTATTGCATGTAATTTCTTAGCATTGTTTTTGTGACGGGTGTGATTGGTCAACAGAGGATGCTTACTTCTCCATGGCACCTGATCCCACTTCTGATTTTTCGGAGGTCCATGTCGACTCTACTCTTATTTTGTATTGTTTTATGGATTTTTATCATTTAATACTGTTCCTTATCTCCATATGTTTCATTGATAATATGAATGTGATTGATGTAAATTTTTAAGTTTTATTTGTTTTACATATATTGATTGTACAGCGCCTAAGAGTTTAATAATGGGGCGCTTTATAAATATTTAAAAATAATAATAATAATAATAATAATAATAATAATAATAATAATAATAATAATAATAATAATAATAATATATTATTGATACTTATTTTTTTCTAAAAATGAATTTTAATACAATATTAATTGTTTTACTTACTTGTATTATAAACCATGATATTAGAACTGCAACGTAAGGATTCCCTGACTTTGTGGTGATGGTTGCAGGATTCAAAACACACCCTTAAAACATGATATTTCATGTAGAGAAGCATCGGAACAGTAGATACGATTTTAAATAAAATTGTTTTTTTTTCAAGAGCAGAGCATCCGTGTTTTTATTTTGATACATTCCACGGTTTAAACATACAAACTTCGTCTTGTCCACTAAAATATGTCGAAATCTTAACCCAACCCAACAATTTTCAAAAGATTCTGAAAAAAATCTTCCCGTCTTCCAAATTATTTCATTCTACGTAAAAACTAAATCGACGGGAATAAATAATACGAATATAATAATAATAATATAATAATATAATAATATAATAATAATAATAATCGTATATTAGCATTTAACAAACAAATATTTGCTTAAGAATAAAGAAATTAACCCCACAGTAATGATTTTACAGTATCTAAAACGTACAGAAGAGATGGTCATTAGCCAGGGCCTGGAGAATTCTTGATGCTCCAATGAGGTTTCCCAGAGCAGCAGATAAGGTGACGGTAAATATTCCAATCAGAACAAACGGTTTCCAGAGGTTGATTTCTTGCAGAAAAACATAGTTGTTCAGCAAAAGACATCTGTAATAAAACAAGGGAATTATTGACCACTTTTGTGTCACTTTTAGAGAAAAATGGATTTTGGTATTAAACAAAACGAATGAGAAAAGTAATACATATACTTTAATAACTGTTAATAAAATGTTGTATTAGCATGTTTATGAACCATTATTGAAGTTATGTCATTTTTTTAATCCTCGTTATTAAAGAATTTAATTTTTTTCCCCATATTTTTAGAATACATGTACATGAATATACAACATATAAATCATCGTCAAATTACAAAAAAGAGTAAATGTATAGCATTAAATTTGATGAATCAGAAAAAAAACATGTAGACTTTTTTTAATTTCGCACATTTTTGGTAACCCATGGCAACATATTATGTTGAAATAAATAAATTGAAATAAACAGGAAGAAGATACTGACTTATTTCAAAATTGTCGATTTGGGCAGTAACTTTCTATTGTTTTTTTTTTTTTTTTTGACAAATGAAAAAAATTTACAATATAGCACAAAAACCCCAGAAATGAAATTCAAAATGAGATTTGTATTTCTAGTTGCGAATCATGTTTTATTTAAATTGTAAAATGACTCTGAAATTTGATGCGGTGTTGTATACAAGAATAATAATTGTAATGCTTACCTATCACACGACCCTCCAACCAGAATTATTTCGATGACGAATGTTGTAAATGTCAACATCAGAGCACCAAGTGTACCCTGAGGTATTGCCTTACTAGGGTTTTTTAATTCTCCTTTGAAGAAAACAGATTTTTTTCAACTCATATTGATAATTGTAGCATGTTAAAATAACTTGTATCCCTTGAAAAAAAATTATAATGCTTCGATTATACTCATAAATTAAATAATATATCAAATTATCAAATAAAAAAAATATTATGTTCTCCATAAAACAAAGTGATGACAATTTATAACAAGGTCAAATACTCGTTGGCATTTGAGCTCTTTTTTGTAGTGATAACAGACCTGACATATTTGCTCCGGTGAGAATTCCAGTCACGCAGCAAAACAGAATAGAGAATACAGAGGTGAAGGTCATCATGTTCATAGAACTGTAATCCCGCTCATAATGTGCTGCAGAATAAAAAAAATGCAAAACAAAATTTTTTACGGAGCTAATAGTGTACAAATAATTTTTAACAATGCCTGTCTCATATCCTGCATATCATCCAACCTCTGTGCACGTTAAACAATTTAATTACAGAAATATGGCAAAAATCGCGTTAAATTTTTACCCGCACTGCAATATCGGAAACATTATTTTTCTTTATGCATGTCATCCTGTAAACTGGTCCTTCCGAAAATATTACATGCCGCTTAAATACAAATGAGAACTTCTTTTACTGTGTTTTCCCGAATTTTTTTTTAACAGATTGGGTCTCTGCAGGTGTTATTCTGGGGTCTACGCTGAATTTTATCACTGCTCCCTGCTCTTCATATTCAGGAAACGTCCGTTTTTGAACGATTTCGATCCTGTCTTCATATGTTCTAACAAATGTTGTTAAAACAAATTCTGGTTAAAACACGCAAATTCTAAAGTTGACATCAAGAAGATGCTTGAGTTTCTGATTGACAATATCTATGTGGTTTTTGGAGACAATGTCTCCCAACAATCTTTCGGAATTCCCATATTGCCCTCTGATATTAGCAGACCTATTTTTGTATTCATATGAAGAAAAACATTTGTTGTGGCCTTCAGCTTGACTTTCAGATATATTTACGACGTATTGTCAACAATGGTAATTTCCATTCCTACGTCGAACGATATCTCAGGAGAGCTTGAGATAAAAGATGCCACTGAGTTTGACACACCTATTTCCAACTTATATTTTACTTGAAAAATACGTTAATAATAATCTAATAGCCAAGTTTTATGATAAACCTGACGACTTTAACATTTGTATCGTCCACTTCCCTTACTTATGCAGCAATATACCTTCATCACCTGCATATATAGTGTATATATCTAAGTTGATTGCTACACAGGAGCATGCTCTACGTATGAACAATTTCAGCGGGTAATTTTTTTAAAAAATGTTTTTGATAAATCAAATTCAACTTATTTAAAAGAATTTAGTATTATGTCGATACAATCAATTGTCAAATGCTGACTGTCTGTTTTCATACGAATTGTTTTTATTTATACATTGAAATGACGACGGATTTTTTCCGTTATTTAGCGATCATGAAAAATAGCACACTATGTGATCCAAGGTATTCTCACTCTCCATGACACCTGATCCCACCTCTGATGTTTCATAAGTGTTTGCACTGCTCCTATTATTGTTAAATGGACTTAAATATTGAATGCAGTTTCTTATCTCCATATCTTGTCATTTAAATTTCAGTATAAGTGAGTGCATTTCAGATAAAATATTAAAACAGGTATGTGTGGAAAAAAATGATATACTTACAAAATAGGTTCTGACGAAAAGTGGTGGCTCTTAGCCCAGTGTAGTTTGCTGAGTCTTGTACAAAGCCGCTGGCATTAACTACGTGACAGTGCTGAGAACTATTTATTTTCCCATGATTGTGCTCTGCCTGCTGTGCATATTCTATCGGTTTTGTTGAGCTTTTGGCAAACACACTCACAAATACAGAAAGGAGGCAAATTACAACAACCTATAAAGATAAATTGAACTATGTAACAGAATATAACATAAATGGCGACCTGATTCACTAATAATGGCGACCTTTATTTATTATCATTCCCAGTTTATAATTGTGCTTTACATTGAGCTATCTGACACCCTCCATGTATTTTCTTTAATTTTGAATTTACCATTTTTAAGTACTTTACTTAACTGTGCAATGCGATATCTTTTTATCGTAAATCAACAAAATCCAGGTGTTTGTCAAATTGGAATTTTTGTTTATATAAAATTCAAATATATACCTGGTACTCTGGTCTTGAATGGTCACATTACTTACCAAAAATATAAACAGCGATGTTTTGGCGAACATGTCAGCTCCGACTATACAGATACCCAGACACACCAGGAGAACTACTGAACAGTACAGATACTTGTACCAGAAGTCATGGTCACCTTGTAAAAATGGATGGTCTATCGATGTTCCTGTTAATTATAATGAAAATATTTTTTCTTTGTCTCTTATATAAACAAAATACATTTTTTAAAAGGTACATATATAGCCTATTCCAACAGAAGACCTTAATGTTTCTTTTTGGTATCTTTTTTCTTTAATATTAATTGCTAATTCAAACTTTTAAAAAATACGTCACTACTGTTCTTCAACCTTTCACATCTGAACTAGATTTAAAATTGGAAATTTCCTTTTAGATTAAATTTTTCAACATACATTCGTGAAAATTTTCATTCATGCATCTACTTTAAGGAAGTCTATTAATATGTTATTGATCAGTGATTGTCATCTGATCGATCAATACTTACCGCCTGGTCCAAAATTCTCGATCATGGCTTCCACTAGACCAAACACAGACAGACTCACAGATAAAAGATTGGCCACAAAGAATATAAAACCAAGGCTTCCCCCAAACTCAGGTCCCAAAGCACGGCTTATCATATCTTTATTTAGGTAAGGAATTGCAATTATGGACTATTTTGAAGGTCTCATCACATGTACATGTAATCACTCTCGGTGACAACCCCACTCAAACTGGATAGTTTGTTACGTCTCCAGAGCTGAGATGTAATCTTATTGTTCTTGTTTAAAGGTGAAGATTACAAACAATGATTGCTCATCAACAAATCTATGGACAAGACACATCTAAAAAAAGGGAATAAAATTTTAAATTAGATCATACTCAGAGCTTGTTCTTAAGTTGAACTTGGGAGAGGTAAACACTGGCTGCAGGTGATAGCAAAATATAACTACAGAAATAAGTTGTTATCATTAAAGCTGTAGCCATCTAGTTTATCATATAATTTAGTAACTAGTTGAATGTTATCGTAAAAATATAAAACAGATATGACAAACACTGTAACGTTTTTTTTTATTCGAGTTCAAAATAGTGTGTCCTTTCCACATGGAATGAAATCTTGTTTTTTTTCTCAACTTAATATGCTCATGTGCATTTTTTAATGAATGTTCAGACAAGTGAAATTGAATAAATTTTAAGGATACAGTAGGCTCCTCCCCCTTCAACTGCTCCATTGGTTGATATAGCACTGATTGACAGCACCGTCATCACCAAAATAAAATAAGCTAAAACAAGCTGTAACACCGATTCTAGGATGCCTGCCTGACCAACCACAAAACCTGAAACAGAATAATCATATTACTAATACATGCAAAGAAGGTGAAAGATGACTAATAATAAAAGTTGAAATATTACTAGTAATAAAAGTTGAAATATTACTAACAATAAACGATGAAAAGGTACACAATTTAATTAAAAAAACAAAACAAGCAATACAAATATATGAAAAGAAATGTAAAGCAAGGGCAACGGCAATTCAAGAGGATCAGGTGTAAGACAAAGAGAAGTCAAAGCTTCTCATATTTATCGATTGACCGCCCAAGCAGAAGGCAGTGACATAATTTCAAACTGTGACGTAGTAACAACACGCCAAGTGTAAGTATGGGAAAACTTTCCGCAACGTTCGTAAAATTCGTACATGAGAGATACTTTTATGACTAGACAAGAGTTTTAAAACGATGGTCGACATCGATTTGCTGCCGATTTCTGGAACATATCTCCTTGAATTTTTTTTCTTAATATTTGCATAAAATAACCAATAAGCGACACGAAATATACATAAAAGAATAAAAGTCTCTGTATTTGTTACGCATTGAATATATTTCAACCTTTCAAAGCTTGTTCATTTTTAAGAATATGATTATTTTAATCTAAAAACTTTATCTCTAACTTAATAACAATTTAATTCTGGGCCTGTTTACATTATAGTTATCGGCGGCGATTTTTAGAAACAATATCATGTTCGATCAAATAAAACTAAGTTATTCTGACTATAATTTTCATAACAAATATTTTGGTATACAGTACATACCGGTACACTATATAACACAGAACTTTTTAGATTGCCAAAAAATTCAAATTTTTCAAATTAGGTATATTCAAGAAAGTGGTAAATATAATATTTTTTTTAATCTTAAATGAGATAATTCAATTAACGCTACAACCAATGCAGAAATGTAATTCTCAGGTTGCGCATTTTACTGCAATATTTGCAACCATTTGTTCCCTTGTTAACGAACGCAGAAGGTATTATAATAATTAAATATATTCTATTATCAATACTTTAAGGTTTCGTCAAAGGCCAACATGTTAAAAAAATTATTTTTATAATAGCTCCAAAACTATGTGTGGTATAAAGTCAGAAAGGTTTACAGTTTATAAATATATCATTGATTAATGGATAGAAAGTATCACTTGATAACAAATATTTTAAAAGAGATATTTTTTGATAAATGCACCTGTTTAATTCTGTCATTTTTGTGAAAACCATCATTGTAGAAATAATATATGTTTATCATTGAAGGGCAAGTTGGACGTGAATGGTCTCTGAAAGGCTGTTATTGAAAGCCTACATGTATAAAGTCAAGACCTCTATAGAATCTGCCATTTGCAATGTACTTTCACTTTCAAGTCTTAATATTTGAACAAAATAAACAGGGAAAAAAACTTTCCAAAGGCATTCCAAGTCCAACTTGCTCTTCATTGAAAAACATATTTTATTTCTGCAATGATGGCTTTCACTAAAAGCACAGAATTAATTAGGTGTATTTTTTGGAAGATATATGCATTTTTGATAAGAATTTTTCTCAATTAATATTATCCCAAGTTTTTTTCATCAAGTGATACATAATTATAAACTGAAAAAGTTTTAACTTGATACCTCACATAGTTTTGGGGCTATTGTAAAAATAATTTTTTGGACATGTTGACCTTTGACGAAACCTTAAAACAATCAAAGAAAATTTGTAAGGATGGCCCAAAATTTTTCCTCAACACTTCACTCAAATCTTACTCTTCTTTTCTCAACATTATTATTTGATCAAAGTGCACATTACAGTCAAGTCCTAATGAAAGGAATACCGTTCTCAAGTAATGAGGTTCCAAGAGTACTTAAAAACACCTAGTCATAACAGGTACATATAAACACAAATTTTATTCCCTTTGAATTTTATCTTTAAAATGATATAATTTCTACTTGCATTACTTAGGCTCGACGGTATTTTGTTCTTACTGTATTTTGAAAAAAAATAATATCCTACCTATTCTGATAAAGAGTAATACACTGAACATGTTCAGAGCCACTGGTGCCACAACCCCCTCCAGGGTCCCCAAGGTTCGTACTCGGGACTCCTCTTCTGTTTCCCCTCCCAACGAATTATCGGAATCACTACCCCGGCGGCAAAGGAAACAATTCAAAATTCCCACCAAAAAGCCGCGCACTGAATTGCCATCTCCAGATGAAATCCCATCAAAACTTTTATATCCATCTTTTTTCCTGCTATTTTCACTTAAAACCCCGTAATGTTCCGCCGACATACTTTTATATTTTTGTTCTTTTACCCACGGAATTATAAATTTTAGAGAGTGAATACGTCTGCAATTAAAGCAAACGCCAGCGTAACAGTTTTGTGGCTCTTCCTTAGAGTTATATAGCTGGGGATCAAATATAACTTCTCTGTAGCCATGAATTCTCAATACGGTTTGCACTACACGTGTACAGTTTTTCTGTATAAGATTTTTTACATTAAGCTTTAGATGTAGGAGTATGAATAAACTTAATATTTTGTACCAAAAGTAAAACTTAAAAACGACATCCTTTTCACAGCTCTATATAAGTATTTTATGTGGCAAGACCTTTCATTTGATACTAATTACATTGACCTTTTGACCTTGACCTTGGAGATTTTTGTACTCATTAAAAAACTTTAACATTAGCTTACTTTCAAATTTCACAATCCAGTGAGAATACCCTCTTTTGGTAGAATTAATTAAATTTCATTTAAGAAATGCTTAATCTTTGCTATGTTGCCATACGGGGGGATCAGTGTTTTACAAAAACATCTTGTTTTTTCTGAAATGAATTTTAATACAATAGTAATTGTTTTACTTACTTGTATTATAAACCATGATATCAGGACTGCAACGTAAGGATTCTCTGACTTTGTGGTGATGGGTTTAGGATTCAAAAAACACCCCAAAAACAAATGTTTTTTATGTAGAGATGCTTCAAAACAGCAGATATGACTTTCAACATTGTTAATTTTTTAAAGGGCATCTGTGTTTTTCATTTTCAGTCTTAATGAACCTAACCCAACACCTTTCAAAAGACTCTGAGTAAAGTTTCCCTACTTCCAAATTATTTTTCCCCAAAGAAAAAACAAAATCCAGAAAAACGTCATATAATAGCATATAACAAACAAATGTTTCCTTAAGAATAAAAAAATTAAACCCCCCAGTAATAATTTTACAGTATTTAAAACCACAGAAGAATGATCATTAGCCAGTGCCTGGAGAATTCTTGATGCCCCAATGAGGTTTCCCCGACACAGCAATGCAAAAATTCCAATCAGAACAAACGGTTTCCAGAGGTTGATTTCTTGCAGA